GACCGGTGCTATGCTATCAGCCGGAAGCACTGAAGAATTTCACCCGCGTCAAAGACCCCAAAGACCCAACCACCGGTAAAATCCAAGAAGGGTTCTTCTGGAGAGGAGTCTTCCCGCCTCAAGAAAAAGGTTTCCTGAAATCTAGATGGGACTCCTTTTGGGGCGGATCTCAGCCGCCTGTTGAACCGGAAGTCTTGCTCATCCCCGAAATGCCGCTGTGGAAGGATACAGATAATAATCTGCTGAATGAAAGAGACTACATGCGGGCCGACTGGCTGGCGTTCCTGGCCCCAAGATTGGGATTTCCCGGGCCGACTATAGATCACATCGACAAATTCTTGGAGAAGCACAAGGCTTCCAAAACATTGATAGAGAATTTGACAGAGCGCGAGACGAATTTGCTCTATCACCTGGCAGTCAAGGCCCAGTCTCAGCTCACTAGTGTCTGGCAGATGAGATCCGTGTCCTATAAGCTGAGGCAGAAGATACCGTCGAAGGGAAATGAGGGGAATGTAAAGCTGATGCTCGACACGGGAGCTCGCACCAGGGACTTCTTGGCTCTGCTGGACCAAGGCAAGTTGTATCCTGAAGAGGGGGCATGAGAGGCTGAAAATGTTGAGTTCGTTGGTAGTTGGTATGCAGTCTGAAATACAATGTCTTCCATTTGCAACATTCTGCTTCGCAGCTCAACATAGATCGAAAACTAGGCAGGCAGCTAAAGAGATCGTTCTATCTCAGAGACACATTGGCTGTGTAGCTAGCGTGCGTGCCCTCTTGATTCGCCTTCATCAATCAGCAAAAGGCTTTAATGCCTCAGGCAGCAAGAAGCCCGAGGCCCAATTCCCAAGGCATACGGCGGCCCACAGCGACCCACGGCGGCGATCGGAACTTTTGGTGGCCATAAACCCCTGAACTAAACCCAGCAATCATTTGATAGTCCGGCTGCAAAACAAAGACTGCCCACATTGGGCATCTGGATGCCACTTGAGGACTGGCAAAACAGACCGGTCTCACGGTTTGTCTGCTTGGAGTCAGGTACTGTACCCTGTCGCAGTTGCTGAACCATTGATTTCCCGTGGGTGCGAAATAGGAGTTGCATCGCCTGACAATAATTGATTATTGACGATCCTCAAAGCCTCCGGATCGGACAGGTCAATTATATAAGTATCATTTTGAGTACCCCATACCTACCACCGACAGATGTGTAAATGAGTAAGTGCCTGGCAGTAGTAAAACTAGTAAACTACGAATAGCAGACTAGCAAATCTGACCTCGGAGTCGTACCTGGGGTGATCCATGGGTGAACATGGATGGGGGTGGTGGAAAGAGCCACTGCACTGCGCTTGAGCTCGGTCGTACCAGAGTTACCGTGGACCACTCGCAGACAGTCTGGAGAAAAGGACCTGGGATAGTGATGATTGGTCTACCTGCCACCGGATGGGGAAAAGGGGAGTCCTGCGGGAGTGTAACTTTGGTAAGCGTATGGTCATGGGACAAGACTGATGGGTATCTCTGCCTGAGGTGTCCGGATGTGGTGGCCTTACCACCCCCTTAAACCCACTAATCAACGGCCAGTTTGACGGGGGGCGGCAGTGGGAAGGGAGACCAACTAAGAGTAAGTACGAAGTACTGTACAGTACAACGGGAAGACCAGAGCATCTCCTCAGGGGAGAGACGAGCAACAACCATCCCATCCCATCCCATCCCATTCCATCTCCATTCATTCCCCTTCTATCTTCCTTCCCTTCATCCTCCTCCTCCTCCTCTTTCTCCTCCACTACTTCCCACGACCTTCCTTTACTTCATCTTCCTCCTCTTTCCACCCCTTCCACTCGCTTGCTTAAACTGTTCCTCTAATTCTACTCTCCACCCTCATCTTCCCTTCTTTCTTTCTTTCTCCCTCCCTCCCCCCCACCTCCCTTCTTTAGCCCACCATGTCTTCCTCATTCAGCGCGGTAAGTTGTTATCCTTCCCCTTTCTATGCCCGGCCGCTCGAATTGCCTCACCCCCGCCATTACCACCACCACCACTACCACCACCCTCTTCCAATGGCTTTGGGGCACAGGTATTTTTGATCGTGTCAGCTGCTTCCACTCTGCTCTGAGTCTCAACTGTGGTTAATTCGCCTCTAACTTCAAGCCCAAGCTCCGTCGCAAGAAAAACGTCAAGAAGGGTATCCAGTTCTGTCTGATGGTCTGTGGTGCCAGCGGAACCGGTACGTTTGCAATCCGCGCAGTCACGCTCTCCAGTCCCAAAAATTGACCACCCGTTTCGATCTCCCTAGGACGCACTACCTTCGTCAACACTCTCTGCGGAAAGAAGGTCCTGGAAGCAAAGGACGCCGACGACGCTGCCAACGCTCACATTGAGGAGGGTGTCCGCATCAAGCCTGTCACAGTTGGTGAGTAGCCCACCACACTAAGTGTTTCAACGCTGGTGCTAACGCACAGCTCGACAGAACTCGAATTGGACGACGAAGGCACCCGCATCTCCCTTACCGTTGTCGATACCCCCGGTTTCGGTGACCAGATTGACAACGAAGCAAGGCAGGTGGCCCTGGCTGCACGCAATACCACTCCCAGTGCACGACTGACCGTTTCGCAGCTTTGGGGAAATCGTTGGATACCTTGAGCGTCAATACGATGATATTCTGGCCGAAGAGTCTCGGATCAAGCGTAACCCTCGCTTCAGGGACAACCGTGTCCATGTCCTCCTTTACTTCATCACACCTACCGGTCACGGTCTCCGTGAGCTCGACATCGAGTTGATGAAGCGCCTGTCGCCCCGTGTCAACGTCATCCCCGTCATCGGCAAGGCCGACTCCCTCACCCCCGCCGAAAAGGCCGAATCGAAGAAGCTGATCATGGAGGATATCGAGCACTACCGCATCCCTGTCTACAACTTCCCCTACGACATCGAGGAGGACGACGAAGATACCGTGGAGGAGAATGCCGAGCTGCGGGGTCTCATGCCATTCGCTATTGTTGGTTCCGATGAGTTGGTTGAGATCGATGGCAAGAAGGTGCGTGCCAGGCAATATCCGTGGGGTGTGGTAGAGGTCGAAAACCCTCGTCACTCCGACTTCCTGGCCGTTCGCAGCGCCCTTCTTCACAGCCACTTGGCCGATCTGAAGGAGATCACCCACGATTTCCTCTACGAAAACTACCGTACCGAGAAGCTCAGCAAGAGCGTGGACGGTGCTACTCCGTACGTATTCCTAGCCTTGGCATCATTCGTGTTCTCCGTTCGCCGACTAACACCTCCGCAACAGTACACAAGACTCTTCCATGAACCCCGAGGACCTGGCCTCCCAGTCCGTTAGGTTGAAGGAGGAGCAGCTCCGCCGTGAGGAGGAGAAGCTCCGTGAGATCGAGCTGAAGGTGCAGCGTGAGATTGCTGAGAAACGCCAGGAGCTGTTGGCTCGCGAAAGCCAGCTGAGGGAAATCGAGGCCCGCATGGCACGGGAGGCCAGCCAGAGCCAGGTCGATGTCACCAACGGAGATGCCTAAACGAAAACCGTCGAAATCCCTGGGACTCATGGAAAACGGTTTCCACATGATTGACATCTGATACCGTATGTGCCTTTGTAATGAGAACCGTGGCGCGGCAGTCGTAACTGTCTACGGGGTTAAGATTAGTCGGCCGTTTATTCACGTTAATAGCTTTTTCTCTCTCTCTTTTTTTCTCTTTTGCTTTCCTGGTTTTTCTTCTGATCTGCAAGGGAAAGGGGAGGGCAAATGCAACGTTCCGTTTTAGTACGACGATGACTGGGAACAACAAATGCTCTCTGGCTTTTCTTTTCTCTCTTGTTTACCCTTCCCACCGCCACCAACCACCCCTCTGGAAACCATACCAGACAGACAAGAACAGAGAAGAAGGGCAAAGGAACGGACATATTTTCGGCTGCAATCTTCCAACCTTCGAACTTCACATCGTCTTTCGAGAGCCACCAATCATCTAACCCCCCCGTGCTGCAAGATGTCTGGAGTCAGAAGAATAGCATCATTTTTAATCACTCACAGTTATCACTGAGGAAAGCATTTGCATAAAGCTTCGAATTTTCAACGTTGCGTTGTCCCTGGCTTTTCTCGTTCCTTTTGATCATTACTCTTTTCTTTTTTTTTTTTTTTTCTTTTCTGACTCCCCCTCCCCTCACATGAAACCCTGTCCCAGTGTCAGCAGCGCGCAGCAAGATTCCCTCTTTTGTCCGGTAGTTTCTTTTTTTCTCTCTTCCGTTTCCACTAGCTTATTATATTTTGTTGTTCTATTTGAGTTATTTGTATGTGTGTATGTGTGTGTGCAATAAACAAAAACAACCAAACAAACAAAGTAACCAACCAGACTCATGGGTTCTCTTCCTACTCCGTGCGTGCCCTTACTCTTATTTGGTCTCCGTCCCAATACATTATGTCTAGGGCTTTGGTAAGGTGGTGATCGGGTAACTTAGATTGTTCACTCCGAGCTGTAGGAAGATAGGTAGGTAGTTCGTAGATTTTCCCTCTCGGTACCTACCGACTACCATTCAACTTCCTTTGATTCAAGATAGATTTAGCTCGGTGGATTGAATAGTAAACCTATAATTACCTATTAACACGATCCGAAGGGAGGAGGGGGGGGGGGGGAGACGAAATCAGGTGTTGGGAAGCTGTAGCCCGAATATCCTGAAATATGTTGTGGCTTCTTGTTTCCACCGACATCACACTGCCTATTATTCTGCCACATTTGACTGCTGCGCGTTTACACCATCCGTGACATGCGTAGTGTGGCCCTTGTAGATATGAATGTTCCACTGTGCTGAACGCGAATCAGTGATTCTGGTGCTCCGATTTAAGGCGGGGGGATGCGTGGTGTACAGTACTGTACGGAGAGTTACTAGGTCAATGCTTACTTTGCAAGCGGAGCGGAGGCGGCAGTGCTAACTTGTTCACTTAGCGAACCCGGGGGGCTAGGCTTTGAGCTTTCAACTACCTTATATACCTCCCTTGCTGCGCGACAGAAAGCGAGGGTGCAATTGTACCAAATCCAAGGGTGGTACTCAGCAGGCTCTCTTTTAATCTTTCCCCCCAAAAAAGCGTACAACCAGTTCATGAAAGGAAAATAAAGCTATAGGCGAACTTACGCGGGTTTAGGAAGTTGGAAGCCGCGAGGAAGAGAGCTACGTAACGACTTCCCCGGATCACAGCGAGCAGGACCACATATGGATGAACAAGAAGCATGGAGTTCTTGACTAAGATAGATAAGATAGATGAGATGATAGAAGAGAAGAGGAGAAAAAAAAAGGTGCGAGAAGTGTGAAAAATGGGGATAAAAGGAACAGGTGGTATTTGCGCTTCATTGTACACAAGTCGGGCAGAGAATTTGCGGGGTCGGATGGGGGGACGCCAAATCGACCAAGGGGGTGGGTGGGTACAAAGACAGGGTAGATGGAGACGAATTGACATGGGGAGGTATTAGAGGAAGGAAAGGAGAAAAAAAATTGAGAATCTTTGGCACTAGACCTCCTGAGAGTCACGGGCAGCAAGAGATTCTGAAGGAGAATGGGGTAATGTGTTCAAGTTTAGTAACGCAGATGGATGAATGTATGCCCTCGCCATTTTTGAGCTGGCCGGGATGATAAAAACAAAGGCCGTTCTAAGCGCAGCAAAAGAAGTGACACTTGGGATGAAAATAGAACATGACACTGTCTCTCCTCGCATCTTCTTCTTCCCTTCCACCCGTTCGGGTGGTTGTTACTGATTGATAACTCAGTTTTGTGGCTTGTTCCAGAAATCCAAGCTGGCGACCACATCCTCTCCTGATTCATCTTCATAGGCATAAAGAATCTGTGACAAGGTCAGCAAATGCTCGAATCACCCGACTGACGGAGGATCGACTTACTTCTCGGGTCGACGAATGCAACATGCGAATGTTCTTTCCAGTCATAATATGCACCAGCTCGCTCGTTTCAATGTGTCGGATTTCGATGAAATTGGGCTCAAAGGCGAGAATATAAGGGTAAGAAAGCGCAAATGCGTTCGGATTGCCCTCCCAGGAGATTCTCCAATCAGGACGGGCACGCCATCCGTTGCGATTGACGAAGAATGAGAAGTCGCTGTAGTTCAATAGGAATTCGCCGTTCATGCGCTCAATGTGAATAGGCTTCACATTCTCCTTGCGTGCAACGAAGTCGAGAGATGTATCGGCCTGGTCGAGCAGAGACTGTGTTTCGGTAGTTTCAAGACTGACGACCTCAAATCCTCGGGCACAGCCCACACAGAGAGTTGAGCGAAGGAAATGAATCGAGGAAGACTCGGCCGGGATGTAGAATTCCTGTAAAACGAATGATTAGCTGCCAAGTTCGGGATGAAAAACAAAATCTGAAGGAAGGGTACGAACCTTGAAGAGCTTCAATGTGTCCTGTCCACTCTGGAACATCTTGCTGACAGCAGACTTCTTCTTACCCTTCGCCAGATTATCCATAGGCTCATAAACCTTGATGGTGGTCGACAAAGCGGAGGTTTTGACGGAGCACACCAGATGACGTCCGAGCCCAATACCAGCCTTGAAAAAGTTCGCGTGACCTTGGATCTTCTTAGGTCGCTTCGCAATAGTGTTCTGGCCTTCATGAATCTCAAGCGCATCCATGGGGTAAGAGGATAATGTCTTGTTCGACAGAACTAAGAGCAGTTGATACTCCTCCAATGTATCTATTTGAGTGACCTGGCTGACATCAAGGACACGCCGGGGTTTCGCTGACTTGTCCTTCGGCCAACGCTCGGAGAGGTAGATACCGCTGTCAGTGCCGTAGACCAATTTTCGGCCTCCGTCTGCATTCACGCCAAGCGCGGTTAGCATATGAAGAATGGGGATTTTGGCTGAGACAAGATAGAACATACCGATGGGAACAAGGCAGTTAACACGGTTAACAGATGTGAAGAAGTTCTCACAAAGAACTGTCTTGTTGTAGAAGTTGCTATTACGCTCCCTGAGTTTCCGCTGCTGCTCTTCTACCAATTCGATGAATTTCCGACGTTGTGTGGTTGATGTAGCGTACAACGTTTGCTCATAACCGCCCTTGCCAAGATGCCTGAAGGTGATAGGAAGGCCATCCTTAGTGGTGGGAGGATTTGCTGCAGCCTTGTTGGAGAGAAGGCTGGACGACGGCCGTTTGGGAATCCCCACCTTGGGTATTACCTCATCCATCTGGGCAATGACCAATAGCTCTAGCGGAATAGGTTTCCGATATACGCGATACTCCTCACGCTTGTTGACAACCTTGATTCTGACCAAGAGAACTGCGTGATCGAAAAGATATGCGGTAACCTCAGAGCTGTCTGTAGGCGTTTTCTTGAACGCCATCTTGGACAACATCTGCCGATTCTCCTCTGTCAACTTCAAGTCAACGTAATCGCCAGGACCGAATTTGAGCGCAGCATTGAGCTGCACCAGGTTGAAGTGGTTCTCAGCCCTACCACTCTCCGCGTTGACACGAGACAGGAAATCCTTGATCAGAGCAATGGCTTTAGGGATATCTTGGCGGTCTGGACTGTCCTCGGCTGTGTTTTTGAAGACTTGCTCCAGTAGGAGTGGATATCTTGCGAGGCGCGTGGTCGGCTTGGTCAGGTAACCATTCAGTTCGAGCTTGCGCGACTCCTTGAGACGCTCTGTTTCCTCTACGAACCTCGCAAATGCCGGGTTCGACGCTTTCTCCTTTTCGAACTCATATTTGCCGTACAGCTGATTGGCACCATATTTGATGAACGGATCGAACCGTGGCACGTGCTGAAGGAAGATATCACCGACCGTCTTGACAACATGACTTTCCTTTTGTCGAGCATTCAGAGCCTCGCAAAGTCCACCGTTGACCTTCAAAACCTCCAAACAATTGCCGAAGACCGTCCGAATGAATTTCTCACGCCGATGCTCGGGAATAGGTGAGGTCGTGGCATTTCCCGCAGCCCGCAATGGCCTCATCCAGAAGTCGCGCAAATACTCCAAATCCTTAACAAAGTCACGTTCCGTGTACATAATCTCAAAGATGATCTCTTGACGTTTCTTTTCGCGATCATCAATGCTGTCTGATACCTCCTTGGGAACCATATTGATCCAGAGTTTTTGATTATCGTTATCATCGTCATCGCCGTGCAGACTGCCCTTGGAAGCAGACGATCGTAGCCCAGGCTGCGGCTTCAAATTCAGCCTAGCCTGCTGTTCGAGCCTTCTGGGGCAGGCAATGGAATAGCACAGGCTATCCCGTGTACACGTCGGCGAATAGCATTCACTGAGCAGCGTGAACACACCATTGACCTCCGAGCTTGGTGCCTCTTCTCCCATTGTCTCCTTAAATTGGTAAAGTTCGCCCTGTGCATCTCGAAGACGATGGTCGTACGTCACATCGTGGAAAAACTTCTGAGCATCTAGCGCGCGGCCCAATAGAAGAGCTAGGTTCCGATCATTAGTCTTGATGATGTGTGCGATTAGATCCACTGCGTGGGCACCGGTGAATGCGTTCTGATATGACAGTCCGTTCTTTTGTAGTTCTGCGAGCGTAATTCGCTCACGGAAAACATCGGCAACACGCGAGAGCAGAGCTGGATACACCAACGGAACCTTACTCCGACGCGAGTTGCTTTGCGCAAGACCGGGTTGATTGCTTGGCTTTCCAGCCACAGTACTCTGCATGCTCATTGTTCGATCCGGCACAACGGTTGATGCCATTGACATGGAGCGCGAGTTCGTGGATCCATCGCTGGGCGGGCGAGGCCTACCATTCGCATTCTGGGCGCTGGTTGGCTCAGGTGGGTAGCCATTTACGGGCGGCTGGCTAGGGGGCCCGGATGGTTGCCTCCTAGGAGGAATTACTCGCCCTGTGCTTGTTGTGTAGGCGTGATCTCGATCCGTCGGGTACGTGGTCAACGACATGGCGCGCTCGTTCGGATTCCTTTCAGGGACGGGTCGCCCTTGAGGTGTCATCGGAGCCGCCGCGTTGTACTGCTGCTGACGAATTGCATTGGCAGAAGTGTGATTGAAGCTGCTCAAAGAGGATTGATACATTGGGGGCCCACCCATTTTCGCCATTGACCGTGACCGGTTTGAGTCCGAGTTCAGGGCGGGATGGGCCGGCATTGTCCTAGTGTAGCCCTTTGGATCTGGGTATTGTGGTCCCGTGTTCGGTCGTGAGTCCAACCGTTGAGGCTGCGGATAAGCGGAGCGTCCGGGGTAGGGCCGTGCGGGGTGCTGAGAAGACTGCTGGAAAGCCGGAGGTGCTGCGCTGCCTGAGTAAGCTTGGTAGTATCCGTTCGGAGCCCCCGATGAATATCCATTCTGCATCTGGCGTGCGGGCGGCGGTGGACCTCTCTGCATCTGTGGATGTGGGACGTGTGATGACATCGTGTGAGCTCGATCTTGAGAGAACTGGGGAGTTTGGGATGTCATCGTCTGCGAGCGTCCCGGTGGCGGAGCACCGCCAAAGATCTCAGAGTATGCAGCATCACGTTGAAAGGCAGAGGGGTGTCCGTAAGGCCGGTAATTCCGGCCTTGCTGGCCCCCTAAGTCAGCCATGGCGCCTTGTTGCTCCTCGCGCTCGTAATCGCAATGATCTGGGCTTTCGTATGGCGACACGGGTCAATCTGGTAGGTGCGACTCGATGATTTCAGGGGGGGGGAGTGGAAGGCGGAGGAGTTCGTCTCAGTACAGGTAGGGTATCGAATCCGGTCGTAGAGAGCGTGCAGTTTGTCGCAATGAAAAAGATCGTTCCAAGTCGTGGAGATGGAGAAAAGGAGAAGAGGGCGGGTTTGGGAGGGGAAAAAGAAAAAAGGTCCTCCACGGGCGATAATTTATAAGCACGTAAGAAAGAGAAAAATAAGACAAGAATAAAATGGCAAGAATGAAATAGAGAAGATATCTAAACAGAGAAGAAAGCGCCCCCGTGTATCATGCCTCAACGAGCTTGGTGGTTGATACAGGTTGATAGCCTGGGGAAAGGCGTCGAGACCGCGTGGTGTGTTGATGTGACGGTAATCGAGGTGCGCTGGGAGGAGCCTTGAGCGCAACGGCAAACCAGGACCCCTGGTTCATAACCTCAGCATTCTCCCTCTAGCTGATGGGTGGATCGACACACAGTGCCTAGACAATGCAAATCCGAAGAGACTAGGCAGAGAGAGGATCAAGAGTGGGGAGGGAAGGGAAAAAAGG